TGACACATAGACAATATTGAGTTGTTGGACATTTAGTTTCTTTTTTCTTTCTGTTATTAGCCACTGCTGTGAGTATATAAAATAAATTATAAAATAATAAATTATGGATTCCTCTTTTTTTGGTTTATTTATTGAAGTATGATTGATTTACAGTGTTGTGTTAGGTTCAAGTGTACAGCAAAGTTATACATATATATTTTTTCAGATTATTTTTCATTATAGATTATTACTAAGATATTGAATATAGTTCCCCATGCTATACAGTAGGGCCTCGTTGTTTATCTATGTTATATATAGTAGTGTATATCTGTTAAACTCAAACTCTTAATTTATCCCTCCTCCTTTTCCACTTTGGTAACTGTATGTTTGTTTTCTGTGTCTGTGAGTCTCTTTCTGTTTTGTAAATAAGTTCATTTGTATCGTCTTTTTTTTAGATTCCACATATAAATGATATCATATGATACATTTGTCTTTTTCTGTCTAACTTACTTTGCTTCACTAGTATGATAATCTCTAGGTCTATCCATGTTGCTGTGAATGGCATTATTCCATTCTTTTTTATGGTTGAGTCTTTTTTTTTTTATTGGAGTACTTTCTTCAAAATGGACATACTGAAACAAAATGTATGGGCAAATTTGTAAATTTGGGGATACATTTTTCTACTGTTTCTGAGTCAATTTACAGAGTAACTGACAATGTATAAGTGTTTTTTTTTTTCATTATGCCTTATCTGCTTTTCATCAACAAATGGCTTTGCCACGTTAATAATTCTGTCAGTAAAATGGTCATATTGAATGACCAAGACTCACAGGATACAATTAAAAATAAGGTTAGTTATTTCTCCTGTATCCTTTAAACTGTATTCTATGAAACTGGTTCTTCCACTGTTCCTCTGTCAAAATCTGGGTAGACGCCATTACCTTTCTGGTCACTATTAGATAATACAAACTGTCCTCCAGTTAGTAGTTAAAATTTTGATACCAGTGCAATAATCAAAATTTCTATTCTGATTTTAAATTGGTGGTTTTACTCTTCCTCCCACCTAGGATCAGGAAAAAGGGACGGTCAGCTCCTTTCCCCCACCCCACCTCGAGCTTTACTCCTCTTCCTCCTTCTTGCTGCCCAGCGTTTCTGACCCCTCTCGCACTGGAACACGGGCAGGGAAAAATTAGGTAAGGGAGTAGGAGAGTTCTGACTAGACCAGCATCTTCACAGTGGCCAAGCATTCTACTCTTGGCAGAGATTTCTCTTTGGATCTTTTTCTTGGAGGTGCTTTTGTGGCTTCTGCAAAACTTGCCCTCATCTACTATTCTCCCATTGCCCCCTCCCCACCAATTCTAGGAATGTTTGTCGTACCCACTTCACTGCCTCTCCTTGCTGCACTGTCCGAGCAGGACTGGGGGCATCTGTTGTTTGGATTTCCTAAGGGAGAGTCAGACTTCTGTAATGTTCTGAGGGCATATCCCGGCTCTCTCAAGACCCCCTGAAGCTCTTGACTTGAAGTGGAGGGAGAGACTCCCCACCCCTTCTCCTTAGGAGTCGGGTTGATGATATGCCCACAGCTCTTTTCCACACTCCATTCTCTTTAATCACCTCCTCACACTTTTATCCCTTGGCTGTCATTGAGAGCTTTAGAATCGTGTAATCTTAAGGTGTCTCCTTTGCAAATTCTGTTTCAAGCCTCATACGTCAGCCCAGATTATGGTCTTTGTTGGTGTAGGGTGTCAGTCTAATCATCTATTTTAATATTCTGTTAGTCAGCTAAGACTCTTTCTATTATAGATGATGAAAACCCTGATACAAAACTAGCTTAAGCAAAAAGTTGATTGCTTAACTCACATTACTAAGAAGAGATGGCGTTGGCTTAGACGTAACTGGATTCAGAGCTTATCAGGACCAAGGCTTCCTCACTGTCTCTCTCTCTCTCTCCAGCTGTCCTTGTGTTGGCTTTATGTTTATTATGGGGCCTCCCAGTGCATCCAGGCTACCCTGCTTTTGATCTGCTAGATGGTCCGTATCACTTTCCAGTGCTCCTTCTTAGGTCTGTGTGCATGTTTAGTATCACAGTCACTCCCGGCTTAGCCCCATTCAGTTCCTTCTCACTTCTTCCCTGGCTATGATCCCAGTGCACAAGCATTTTATACCATTCTTATCTCACTCAAGACCACTCAGCCAGTTGTCAATTTTAAGGTCCCCTATTCTTTAACCTTTTAAGTGCAGATTGAAGAAGAAATCTTCTTTATTGTTAATTTCTTTTCAAGCATAAAAAAGTTACTGGGAAATAATAAATATATTGGTAAAATTTAATAGTCATAACCTAGGGTACAAAAATTTAACTATATTTATTTTTCCCATAATTGGATTTATTTTCTGTTTTCAGGACCTGCTATGTCTTTTGCACATAAGTAATATAGTACCTTGCAGATAAACCTATAAAATATAGTTACAATGGTCTCTTTATCTTTCCTCTTCTGTATTATACAAATTTCAACATGACATATTTTACATTTTGAGAGGATAAATTAGGACTAGTTCTGAAAGGCTGCCTCTTTGCTCATATAAAAGCAGGTGATAATACCTACATACACAATCATGTTTGAGTGATCTGCTATTGCAACATTATTTATTCCATCAAAAAAAAATCCATATGTGTTAACCTAGAGTTAGTTTCTATACAGAAGAAAAAAACCCAGAGGCTTTAATGCAAGGGAAATGGTTATGGAGAGTATCAGAGACTACACATTACAATAACTGATAAATAAACCAGACATTATTCAGATTTAAGTATGTACTGATATCGGAGAGTATGTCAAGTCTGTACCTGACTGACATGAGGATCATGTAAGAGGTAGTGTATTTTTTCCCCTGCTGACTACTATTAAGACTTTTCTTCTTGTTTCTCATTTTGTTTATAATTGCATTTTTTCTTCTTGTGGATATAGCACTTCATGAAAGTGTGGCTTGATGTCTCTTGAGAGTTTTGAAAAAATTCTCAGCCTTTATCTATTTAAGTATTAATTCTGCCCGTTATCACTCTCCAGTCCTCCGAGGATTCCTGCTATACGTACATGAGATGTTTTCTCTGTGTGCTGTCTGCTCCTTATATTCCTTCCTGCATCTTGCATACTTTGGCCTCTCTACACTCCAGTCCGAGTATTTTCTTCCTATCTACCCTCCAGTTTTCTGTTTTCTCTATTCAGCTGAGGCTAACATGCTACTAAACCTTTCTATCAAGTTAATCATTTCAGTTAATTACTTTTTTAGTTCTGAAATTTCCATGTGATTTTAAAAATATATATTCAAGATCTCTTCTGAAAGTCTCCATCTTGTTATGTGACTTCTTGAATAAGTCAGTCAGAGTTATTTTAAAGTCTTCTGAGAACTCTAATATCTAGATCTCCAATGGCCTCATATCTATGTCTTGCTTTTGTCTGGGTCTTCAATCCTTTCTATCTTTTTTGTACACCTGGTTATTCTTAATACTAAGTGTTGGGCATTGTGTGTGAAAATCATGACGATAATTTGAGGATCTGCATTTTGTTATTGTCCTCTAGAAAAGATTTACATTAGTGTTTATCAGGTAATTAAGGTAAGGAAGATAACCTTCAGTTTATCTGGGATTGAGATGATACAAAGCAAACCATCAGTCTTTGTCAGGGTTTGTCTACTTCTGGTTTGTCCTACTCTTGGGCTATAAATTGGGGACTATAACAGAAAGCCTGTGTTGACCAGGGCCCTCTTTGATGGGTCTTGAATTGCAATGTTTGTACCTCTAATCCCAGGAGACCAACAAGTTCTGCTTAGTTTCTTAGCATTTCACATCCTACTTTGGGATTGGCAGA